CCGTTTGGTCATGATTCGCAATCGGATCGGATACGGAACTCGCAAACGGACAGAATACGGATTAATCAGAATAATGTATTGTGATTTCCTAAAAACGGTTCGCGTGCGGTCCGTATGCGATTCCTATTTCAACCGCGCGCGCACGCGAAGCGTCCGTAACGAACCCGTTCGCATATTACCTGTGTGTTAATGTGTTGTTAAGAACCTATTTATTTAAAAAAAACGTTTGGCGTATGGTGGGAAACCCTCTGAGTTCTTCTCCAATCGAACTATCACACTCACCCATTCCCGGACTTGACGCATTACTGTTCAGCGGTTTTGTTTTTGAAACATCCGTATTGTTGTTATTCTGCTCATCTGGAGTGCTTTGTCTTGAGTTCTCCTTTCCAGCGGTTTGCACATGAGACGGAACCGACGAAATCTTATTGTGAACAATCTGTACATTGTGTGTCTTTGCATGCACGGATGAGATTGTTTTGGGCTCGACTAATTCCTGGAAAACGGGACTCTATTAGGGGACTGTCACTCTCAAAACGACTATTCTATTTTCAAAAATGGTTTTTGCATGCAGATAAGGTGAGGAAGATTAATCAAATACGTGAGGAAATACATTGGGTTAGGATTTCAGTAATTACGACACATGTGAATATAGGAAAACTAAACCTTCGATTAGTCGCGTTTGAGACACAGTTCATAGAAATGTCGCGAGGACCAGAAAAAACAAAGAAGTTTTATATATTGCAGGAAAGAAGGGTAAGTAGTCCAGGTTTGGAAGGTAACAAAGGACAAAAGCTGTCTAACCTGGCTTCAAACACTAGCAAACTTACTTTCGGTCGATGATGTCCATTCTCCGCTTTCATCTCGTTGTGATTGTGGTGAGTATGATGCTTCGCTGGTTCAGAAGTGTTACGCGTAGTTCTGCAAGCGATTAGTAGAGAAAAGAATATGAGAGAAAGCCCCGAAAAAATTTTAAAACTATAATGTTAGGGGAAGAAGTTTACACTGCCCTAAAATTTAAAGAGAAGTTGGAAAGAAAACTGATATAAGCGAAAATGGGGAAATTCAGTTTTTGGTACTAAAGGAGTGATAGGATGTGCTTCTTAAAGTGTTCCTTAAACTAATGAAAATACAGTGATGTTTAAACAGGTATACAAAACGTAAGACAAAGATTTTAAATTTTGCATTAACATAAGAAAATGAAATTTCCTAGTTTTCCAGCTCATTATTGATTTCTGAAAGCCATTTTTTTTTCGGTTTTGGTACCAAAAACGTGAAAAAAAGTGTCTTTCAAAAATCGGCAAATAGCTGAATAACTAGGAATTTTCAAAAAAATCTGTAAATGCAAAATTTCCACCTAGATGTGTTTTACACCCTCAACGCGAAAAAAAAATTGGAAGCTAGAGAGCCGAGCTTCAGACTTCTGAAAATGGCCAAATGGCTGAAAATTAACTGAAAATAAATTTTTATTTTCCTAATTGCCCAGTATTGCATGAATATGCTTTTAATGCTGTTTGCCAAGCAAACAGAAGATTGAGCTAGCTGAAATCTAATGATCTCTGATTTCTTATTTCAATCTGCATGTAGCTACAACATCGATCCATAAAAAATAGTTAGTCCCTCCACTATTGTTTCTTCAAATCCTCTCCATTAAATCTCGTTTCCAACCACCACAATATGAGTACCCCTCTACAACACATTACTCCTCTTCAAACAGCAGCTAATCGAAATGTCACCCGTCGTCGTCATTCCGTCTTCTCTCCAACCATACACATCGTTCTTACTCCCCTTCTGGCCCCCACTTCTCGAATAATTACCTCGATTCGTTATGCGGTGCTGCGTGTTTTTCGGCGACAATGGACGTCGTTGTCAACGTGGTGCGTTTTCGGTCCAATTGGCCATCTTGTGAGCCGGCCGACGAGCAGCCAGATGTTCGACCATCAAGCCACTTGAATATGTGCACAATTCCCTGAAAATTGGTTTGTTGGGCTTGATCGAGCACAAAAAGTGATGGGTTCAGATCTCCAAATGAATGGGTTTTTTGCCCCTCTTACCAATTCGACAATCTCGATTGGTGGACTTCTCAGCGGATTTCTATCCAGTTGCAGATGACGGAGATCGGTCATTTTAACAAAGTCAGCCGGCAAATAGGACAGATTATTCTGCGAGAGATCAAGTGTACGCAATTCCAACGCTGAGCAAAGTTCTGCTGGGAAGTCTTCGACACGGTTTCTGGCGACCTTCAATACCTTCAAAGCTTTCAAGTAGCGTAGCTGAGATTGCAGGCTGCGGATGTCGTTTTTCGACAAATCCTGGAATCAATATTTTTATATTTTCTGTTCGAAAATCTCAATGGCTCACTAAGTAAGCGAGTGTTGGTGCCAGACGTCTGATTCCTTCAGGAATGCACGTTATCTTGTTTCCAGCAAGAATGAGAGCGTTGAGTGGAAGGTCGAACAGTCCGTCCGGAAGATGAGAGATCTCATTGAAGCTGAAAATTTGAAGCTATAATAGGATTATGCCAGTTTCGAGAGTTACCTAAAGTCAAGATAGGTGAGTTGTTCGAGTGAGCAGATACACGTAGGAATGGTTCGAAAACGGTTCGAACTGGCAATACAGGAGATCAGACAGTCAAAACCTGAGAAGTTGGCGGGTAGGGTTGACATTCGATTGTCACTGAGGTCTGCAAAAAAATGATTTCCGTTTCAATATGATTCAAAATAAATCCTCACCGATAAGTACTATGTCCAAGAGTTCAATGTTTGAAAAAGCTTCGTTTGGAAATTCGGAAAGTCTCAAACCATGGAGCAGAAGTCGTCCTGAGTACTCGGCTTCCTTGAAACTGGTCCCAACTGTTGAAGTGTATGATGTTGTCTGAAATTGTTTCTTTTTGGTTGTTCGGGGACTCAAATTAAAATATCTAGTTCACTTTATTCAGTGACAGTAATACCAAAAACCGTCCTATAGCACACGATGAACTACGAGCACTACGAGTTCGAATATCTTGGCTTCTACAAGAAATATCAAACAGCAGTCAACTCATAAAATTTTTTCATAACATTACTAACATTTTTTCAGTTTTCAGATTATTGAAATTTTTTTGAAAATTTCACAGAAATAGAGATAATTAAGCACAAAATGCAAGATTGCCTTTCAGAGCATTCACAATATTATTTTGTTGCACAACAGTAAACTTCTGGAGCTTGAACTTAAACCAAGGCCTGTCAATTTCAAAAACACTACAGTTATCCTCCCGTTTTAACTGCAGTAATCCCTCAGTTTTCATACAGTAATTCTTCAGTTTCAATCACAGTATTCTTTCAGTTTTAACTACAGTAATACTTCAGTTTCAACTAAGTAATCCTTCAGATTCAACTACAGTACTCCTACGGTAACTACAATAATTCTTCAACTTCGACTACAGTAATCTTTTAATTTGATTTATAGTAATCTTTCAGTTTTGACTACAGCAATGCTTCAGAGTCAACTACAGAAAACTTCCAGTTTCAACTACAGTAATCCTACCGTAACTACAGTAATCCTTCAGTCAAAGTTTGAGCAGCATAAAAACGAAGTCAAGAGAATGCTTGATGTCAGTTTCGGAATTTTCAGTTCCCCGATGGCTCAAAATTCTTTGTCTGCTTTTATTTTTTGAACCCCATTCAATTCAACCGATTCGTACCCTCTCCATATTTAAAAAATGCATTTGGGAATTAGAATGATAGATAACACTGGATTCACTGCACTTTTTTCTCATCATTCATTTTGTACGAGGGGATTCCTTTTTTTCTCCCCTTTTCTCCCCAAACCCCTACACTTTGTTTTGTTTGAAACCGTTTGTTCAGCTATTTTTACATTTTTTACACTATGAGAAACTCAATGGATGCCACTAGTTGGTTCGAGAAACAAATTTGCGGTCAGATTTATGACCAGTGTCCCGCATTCCAGACTTGTCACTAGTACAATATTACACATATCCCTCGAGGCTGACCACCTTCTTTTTTTCAAACGACCCGACGAAACAAGTGTTTGGTCGTGTCTTCCTGATGGATAATTAGGCAGTGGTTTAGGACGAAACCTCTAACTAAAACATTCGTGGAAACGTTTTTGGAGTGAATTATTCACGACATGTAGCCTGAAAAAGTAAACTCACTTGTCCGAAGTGGATGGATCCCGTAGACGTCGTTGATCGGCTGACGGATGGTTCGGACGAGTCATGATCTGACGTGGAACGATGCTTGGACACAGCCATCGCATGATCCGTCGCATCACTCTTTTTCTTTCGCTTACCCGTCCACGAAAACGTTAGCATTACCTGAAATTCAAGTTTAAAAAGTGAACGAAGTCAATTGAAAGGGAGAGAAGAAATCAGAAACAAAAGGGACAAACCGCGCCTCTTTCTTTGCTCCAAAAACGTCATAGCCTATTTCCTGTTCAAGAAGAGTGAAACCATCAAAAACGTGAAAAGAGGAAAACGAAAAAGTGAAGAGAAAAGAGAGAATAAGTGGAGAACGGATATAAGAAAATGGCAGGTGTCGTCGACAATCGGAGAACCGATAAACCATTTCAGCTATAAATGCAGACGTGGTTATGCGATCATGAAAATTGGAAGAAAAAAGTGGAGAGAGAAGCAGTGGAACCCAGCTCTTCGATGTCTAGAACACAAAAGGATTAGACCAACGAACATGGAGATTGACGGATTATGAAGAGAAGTGCGTGAAAAAGAAACGAGGACGGAGAAGGAAAAAAATGATTGGATTATATAAACAATTTGGTTTGTAAGTGAAGGAGAGAAGTCTAAACGAGAATAGAGAGGCTAGAGAAAATGGAAAACTCCAAAGCTTTTTCTACTTCTAGGAGAATCGAGACGTTGATCAATGTGATTTATCTATACTGAGTACCCCTACAATTTAGACATCAACAGAATCCGGAGTTTCAACCGGAAGTTGAGGGATATGGAAGCCGCTGAATTTTGGAAAAAAAGATAATGGAACTAGCAAATAATTCGGAGGGTACACTAGTATTGGGGTCTTCTGGGTAGCTTATATTAGTTCTTTTTACCCCGAATTGTGGATTTTGCTTTGCTGAATTATCTTCTGTCCTGTTGTGCCTTTAAAACTACTGCACCCTCTGAATTATAGGTCCGTGAAACTGAAATCAGAATTTTCCATTTAAAAAAAAGATGTGGAAATCAAATGTATCAGCTGAACAGATTTTTAATGATTTCAGTGAAACTGTTTTGATAGAAATTCGTAATAATATGAATGACTCATCAAATTTTGTTGACCGAACATCATTCACAGGAAATCAATTTTGAAACAAAATATTTGATTTCATCAAAAACGCTATAAAGCGTAGAATTTGTATTCTTATTTGTTCAAGAATTTGGAAATTCAAAAATTCAAAGTTTTGACGAATATGGGGACGAAAAGAATCTGAAAATTTTGAATTTTATAAGTAAGCCGACCACTTCAGCAACTCAAAACTATTTGAAACACTCAAATTTGGTACATTTTGGAACATTCAAAGTTTTGATAATCTCAATTTCAAAAGTTAAAAATTTCAAAAATCGAAGTTTCCATAGTCCTTTTTAGGCTCACAGTTTCCCAAATACTGGGACCTAACCGAACCTCAAATCGGTTATAAGATGTTGTTCACTCAACTTTCTAGAGCAAGAACCAAAAGAGCAGCTTTAAATTCGAATTTTAGGCCACCCCTAAAGCGCGCGCGGGAAAAGTCAAATTCAAAATGGTAACTAGTGATTGGGAAAAGAAAGAGACTGCGTGCACAAGCTGTCGCTGTTTCCAATTCTACTCTTTTTCTCTGCCTATCTCTCATCGGTACCCACTGTTCAACCACCGGCACCAAAACGCATTTGTCACAAAAATGGCACTGTCGTAGGACAGACCGGGAAGGAAGATGGACGGGTTGATGGGCGGTCGGTTGGGATTGATGGAGTAGGAGTAGAAGGGGCGGTCAATCTCATTAACTGTACCAATCTTTTTTGGCATTAACAGAAAAGAGAACAAAGGAAAGTGCAGAGGAGAGTGCACATAAAATTTGAATTCAAATTTCAAATTGGGAGAGAGGGATACTGTAGTTTTAGAGGTTCAAAAAAGCCATAAAAGTGAGCAATGTTAGAACAAAGGAATGATGAAATGATGAGAATGCACTTTCACCGATCACCCCCATCATCATGCCTTTCATCCATCACCGCGCCTAAATACACATCTTTTCAAATGCATTAGCACAACCAAAAACTGCTGAAATGTGACACGCTTCTTCTTTTGGTGGTGCTGGTGGGGCGTGGAGGAGAAAAGGTCCCAAAAAAGTTTCAGTTGAGGCTTTTCTCGTGTCGGCGCGGCGGTGACTTGAGGGCAAGAGGAAGAGCGCGGCAAAAGGAAGCGAAACATTTGAAATTAGATAATGGACTTTGTGTAAGACAAGCAAAGTGAGTGGGTCCCAAATTTGCAGAAAACTTGTAGTGGTTCCTTTTCAGTTGAAGGCTGAATGTTGGAACGATTGGGAGAAAAATAGAACTGACATTGAGAGAAGAGAAAAACAATAAGAGAGAAATGATGAAATAATGGGAATTCGTGGAAAATAAACACAAATGCATTATCTTTTATCATTTTTCCAGCGTTGTTTGTTTCGAACGACAAAACAAGAACCAAGATTCGAGGAAAGTGACTCACTAGGGAATGGTTTGAATTGGGTGATGCATGACCTATATCAAGCTGAGAACAAATTGTAAATGAATGGGGATTTGAAAGTTGCTAAATTGATAAATAAAGAAAATTAGGTCTGCGGCTCCAAATTCCTACTGTTTTCCTCCATTTCAAGAGAAATTTTCTTTTAATTTTCTTTCCCTAGTCAACACTGAAACTTACGGTATTTTCTCTGATACAAATCCATCTCTCTCATACACTTTGAGTTCAATTATCTCGGTTCCTGTGAGGAATATCAGAAATCTGTTAACTGATAAAACATTTGTGATGTTATGATCAGTAGTTCATCAGTTGGCAAAAATTTGATATCTTCTGAAGGAAGCGAAATACTGGAGCTTGAAACAAAAATGCAGGGCGGGCTTCTATCAGGAAAAATACGGTAAGTACAGTAATCTTATTCCAAATGTTCTTCTCTATATGTTTTTGCTCACCTTCCATTTTGCCTTTAAGCTTTCCGTGGGACTATCGTACATTCTGAGTGATGAGTTAGTAGGTAGACTAAATGACTGTTGTGATAATGCAAAAAGGAACACAGCGTCTTATCACATCTTATCACCTGTTTTGCTCTTTGTTATTGGCAATACAACCCTCCTCGACCGTAATGTCAACATTCCCTCGGGACCCCTCAGTAACTATTATATGAGTCAAAACTAAAAAGTCACCGTTATCGAAAGCGGAACAGATTGAAAGTAGCGAAAGGGACGCATGGGTATGCATAAGTCAATATGAACAACAAGGTAAAAGACCAAGGAACTGGAAAAATGAATCTATTTGTGAGTAGTAAGAATTGGGAGGAAATGGAGGGAAAGAAGAAGAAGCGACCGAAATAACGAATTGTTTTCGTCGTACCTTTATCGTGAAGAACAACAAACGTACCATGGGAAAAAGCTCAAATTCAAACATTGCGTGCCACAAAGGGTTGACTTTTTCAGGAATTCGGGTTCACCATGAGACCTTTGTTGGCGCGCGAAATGTTGAAGATTATGCATAAAAATTTAACTGAGACCCGGAAAACAAGGAATCTTTTATTAGCGGTATTTTTGATATGGAGGTAGTCAAAGCAGCTGAAAACATTCTCTGTTCTCCAATGGATTACTGTAGGCAGATTTTGCTTGTGAAATTAAAAAAAAAACAAAAAAGGCCTTTAAATATTTTTGCAATTCTGAACATTGGACAGAGACGCGCAAAGTTGCAGCTCCCACATCCGATTTGATGGGGAAGAGCGGATTTGCACTTTTTGGCACGACATCACCGGACACATACATTTTGCAGAGAAATAGACGTGTGCCATAAAAAGAAATGGGACCAAAAAACTTTCATACTTTTGATTAGAGAAATTTTGTTGATCCAAATGTTTCAGTTTTGCAGGAATTTAGGGTAGCTAAAATGGAAAAATACATTTTGGAAGATATATGGTTTCGAATTCAAGGCCGGATTGATTTCGATGGGGGAAAAGGGTATGGGTGGTGGTGAAGTGGCAGATGTTCATAATGGGTTCGAGGTGAGAAGAGGAAACCAAAACAAAACGGGTGCGACAAATCTATATATGGGGAGCGGCGACACGACTGCAGTGAGTGAAAATACGAGATGGCAGAATATGGGAGGATGAAAATTGAAAAAAAAACGGAAAGAGAGAGAGAGAGAAGGTACCTAAAAGTGCCAATAGGAACAGGAGTAGCTAAAAGAGATTGTGAAAACCAAAAAGTAGGAGATTGGATGGCTAGATGAAGATGTTTTTGATGAGTTAAAAAAACGATAATCGAAAGATTTGGAACGAAGAAAAACGAAAAATCCAGATTCAGGTTTTCATATTATTTTTATCTGAGAAATAAAAGGTTGGAAGCGGATATCTCGTCAAATTGTTTTTGAAGGCACAAAAGAGAACTACCGTACTCTTTTAGCCTATTTCGAAGATTATTTGAATATTTTCTGAAAACCCTAAAACCTGTAATAGAAGGGTCTATTAATTTTTAATTTTGATCCAATTTATCTCGGTTCTCGTCAAAATTATCAAAAAGTTGTCAACAAAAAAAAATGGTTATAAAAATATCACAATCATTTTATCACTTGACAAGTTTCTGATATCTTTCACAGGACTGGAGATGAATGAGCTCAAACTTGACCGTATAGAGTCCTTCTAGTACAGGTTTTGAGGTATGTCAACGGTTTTCACCGTTTTTCAATATAAACTGAAAAAATGGATTGAAATGATGAAGACTATTTCCCTGTTTTTTTTCAATTTTCGACTATTTTCATCATGTTTTGAATCTGATTTAAAAAAACGAATTAATATGATGAATCATTGAAACCATGGCGAAAATCGAGAAAAAAATATTTGAAATATATTTAAAAATATGGTAGTTCAATTTAAAAATAATTTAACCAGATATTCACTCTCAGCCTTTTTTCTCAGACAAAGAAAAATGATTTCCGTTTAACATTTGCGAGGTTACTGTATCTCAAACCCATCTAACTGAAATACGAAAATATGTACAACTGCTGAATCTATTTTTTGCCTTACCCCCACTTTTCACACCTTCCTAATCATAATTTAATCTAATAGGCAGCAAAAGCAAGCGCGACG